GTTTGCAAATACATTCTTTAAAAATCAGACAATGTGATTTTTCTGGATTTTTTTCCCCATTTTGTCTCTCATAGTAATGTATTTGCAAACCATGGTGGAAAATAACTATTTGGTCAATATCAAAAGTTCATCTCAATAACTATGAGAGACAAAATGGGGAAAAAAATCCAGAAAAATCACATTGTCTGATTTTTAAATGTATTTGCAAACCATGGTGGAAAATAACTATTTGGTCAATATCAAAAGTTCATCTCAATTGAAAATTACAGGCCTCTCTCATCTTTTTAAGTGGGAGAACTTGCACAATTGGTGGCTGACTAAATACTTTTTTGCCCCACTGTATATGTTATATACATATGCTGAAGCTGCAGCAGATTTACTTGCAGGACAGCTGGGAAAATGAGACGAAGGGGGGTTCATGCCTCTGTATGGTAGTCAAAGGGCAGGGGCTTGCCTAGAACAAAGTGTGGTGCAGCACAAACTGGAAAACATGACTTTTAATATGAAGGAGGAAAACCCAGGCGGAGGCTGCATTTCTTGGGGCTAGAGGTAGGTAGAAGATGATGTCCATTCCTTACCACCAAATTATTGGTGGCCTACACTCATGACAAAGCAATCTGACAGTGCAGATATGCCCAAACCATTCAGCAGAATAGGCATTCAGCTCCAAATGTCAAAAGCCTATACATTTCAGTGGCTAAAAAAACCCCTTTCGAAATAATATTAACAATGAATAACTTTAAACATTGGCCATGAGACAGAGCAGGTAGCCAGAGTGGCTATCATAATGGGCCTCTTTCCAAGTGTTATACTGGCAATTAGGAATAGCTGGATAGGAGTGGGAAACTGACAATGCTATACAGTACTCTATGATGGCAACTGATGTTGACTCAGTTTTCTGCTACTCCTCAGGAAAGGCAGCTAATAAGGACACCTTCTACACTTGGACCAACCCTCTTTGTAGTGGCTGATAGCTTTTCTCTTTCCTCTTAGGGGGTTCTGTTGATACAACCTTTCTTCAGAAAGGCTGTCTCTAGAATAGCTCTGTTGAAATAATGGAGTAACCTAAACAGTGTGGAGAAATCTCAAGCAATGGTTCCAGCTAGTGAATTATTATGGTTGCTACTAGACTTGGAATCCATGGTAGCATAATATGTCAACAATGATTATTTCCTATACTATCTACATGAAGCTGGCCTGAACATTAAGCCACATTGTCCGGCATAGATTATCCTGCAAAGAATTCATTCCAACAAAGCCTCAAGAATGTTTGTGCATATGTTGGATTGCAACCAAAGTCTACAACTAGCCATGGCTAACGGTGGTGCATGACATTTATTGTTAATCCAGCTATTATTTTAAGTTGGCCAACCATATCTTAGTCTTTGTGAAGATTTTACTTTTTTTTGTTCATTGTTTCACAATCCCAGATGAAAGCAACTGTTGAAATACCAAGGTATCTAAGTATGAAAATCCACAATATGTAATATTGTTTTTGAACGTTTGTCAAGACAGACTTGACTAATTCCAACAGTATTTAATAATCTGAGGAATACTGAGTGAACCAAATTATGGGCAAAATGTTTTGTATTTTCCAGTTTCTTGTACTTTGTTAAGTCTTAAGATGCTATTTTTCCTTACTCTGTAGTACTGCAAACATTATTTCTGGTAGCTTTCCAAGTTTGAAAGCCAAAATACTCCTCATCCAAGGGAAAATAAAGAAACAGAACAATGACATAAATTGATTATTGGGTTTCTGTTGCCATAACAGAATGGAACACCTGCATCAGGTCAGTGTCTTTAACAAGTGTATGGAATTTTCCAGTAAGCCAGATATCCAAAAACAAAAACCAAACAAAACCCCCACCCAAACCCAAAAACTGAACAGCAGTAAACTTTCAGAGTTTCAAAGAAGTAACAGACAAAATGAACATCCCATAAACTTTAAAATTTAAAGTATGGGTATACCACCTTTAATTTTAATGCCTACTGACAATTGATAGTACTGATGAAAGGCTACTGACACAGAAAAAAACATTTGGAGGCCTTAGAGACCCAAAGTCAGAAGTTTTGAACTTACATTTTACAGCATCCAAGTTCACAATATTCTACCACTGTTTTAGCCTTCCAGTCAAAGCAAATAAATATCCTTAATTATAATTGGTATCATAATTAGAAATATAATCACTCCTACCATGCATATCCCTAAGTTTTTGTATGCCCTTTTGTTTTTCCCCCTAAAGGATCTGCCATTTATTTTTTGGACTTATGTCTGAAGTGCACTTTCTTAGAGATGTTTATAACCGATTCACTTGTTCATAACATACGTACAGTATAAGGCTTAATGCAATATTTCTATCAACATATGAAAAGATGCACCTAAAACAGATAAACCTCAGATTGCAGCAAAAAGTGGCTTTAGGTGCAAGGTTTTAGGTGCAGTGAAATTAGCTCCTGTCCTGGCTATAGATCATATGCATCCTTCATCAATTTGCCACCTTAAACTGCTATTTGCTTCTGACAACTTATCAAGATAAAGTGATATTTAACTGCTATTTCCTTTTGCTCTCTTCCTCCATCTGAAAAAGCTCATTAATAATGAGCATCGTGTGAGAGCAACTCCACATATGTTCATATAATATTCATGTTCAAATTATGTTCATATTAACAGGGATAGCAGCTGAAGAAGAAGGGATATTTCAGCAGGCAACTGAAGAAAGATTTACAGTAGGTTTGGTGTTTCTCAAACGAGTCTCGTCCTGAGTTTCCTTCCATTCTTCTGTCCTATCTTCTTATACAGTATAAGCTAATTGATCAATATCCTCAAACCCTGGACAAATAGGCTAGTGAAACTGGAACTAAATTCAGATACTACCAAAATCATTGCCAGTTCAATACAGTTTCTTCTTATTTAGGAAGTTGTATTTCAAACATGTGAAATGGAACTTCTATAAGAAAGACACACAGCAGAACATGGTATGGTTATCTATGGCCAAAATATATACTTTTTCAGGCTTCAGAAAAAATATTTTATCAAGCAAATGTGCAACCACACTTCTTTGCAATATCTGACAGCCAAAATACTGTATATGTTATGCAGGAAATCTGTGATCAGATCTTGCCATTTTTAAAGAAGATTGAACAGCAACTGAAAAACATCCTGATTTAGATGGGGATTGCACAATTTCTCATTCAAAAATTTTCTAATTTCTCAATCTGGAGAAAAAAATGGGGTATTTGGGTGTTCCAAATAGTCCTGTAGCTTTTGTCATGTATATTAAGGAAAATGGATAAAATGGGGAAAGGTGATTTGATCCAATAATTGCAGGAACTGTATACTGTTATGAATTTTCAAATACAGCAAAACTGAACTTGCAGACACAGAAATGGAAGTACTCAAATATATACAACAGATATCTCTCTTCCTATTTCAGTAGGTGATAGCCCCTGGCTGACCTTAGTTTGGAATCTAAGTGGAGAGCCTGGTTGATACTTAAGTGCAGACCAGGAAATTCCAGGATTGTAGACTAGATTGGTAAATTAAAAAAGCATTCCAGAAGAAGATTATGGAAAACCATTTCCAGACTGTTGCCAAAGTAATTATGTGAGTGTGTTCATGAAAACACCAGGTTTCAAGCCTTACTTAAAAAAAAGACTTCTGAAAAATAATATACATATTTTAACCTATGTTATAAAAATAAATCACGTTCAATTATTGCAGGTTGGTCCCTGAGTAAAGCAAAACAAGAAATGGTAAAAAAAATGACTGGTGTATAGTTCAGTACCATCAACCATGGTATCCTTCTGGGTTGCCTGCAAGGGTTGGGAGTTGAGGACATTGTGTTGCAATGGTTCCACTCCTTCCTAAGCACATGGTTCCAGTCAGTGATCCTGAGTGATGAGCAATCAAGAACTTATCTGCCACAGGACTCAGTCCTCTTGCCCATGTGTTTAATACCTATTTGAAAACTCTGGAAGGGGACAACCATAGGTTTGGGGTGAGGTATCATCAATATGCTAATTATTCCAGTTGGTCATCTCTACCCTGGTCCAAGGTATAATGGATATTCTCATCCAGTGTGTGGAAACTGTAGGGGAACTAGATGAGATAAAAGAAGCTCAGGCTGAATTCTATCAAGATGAACTTGCTATTTTCAGAAACTATTTGCCTCTCTGTTCCTATTTTAGTTCTGGAAGGAATTGCAATCCTCCAGAAAGAACAGATGTACAATCTAGGGATTGTCTTGGACTCATGGGTCTTGTTACATCAGCAAGAAGAGGCTGCAGCTATGGGAGCCTTTGCCCAGTTTGGGGGCAAAAGTTGTGACTTTTCTTGCAGCACAAGGACCTGGCAACAGTAACTTTTGCCCTTATCATGTCCAGACTGGATTATTGTAATGCTCTCTACTTGCCTTTGAAGATGACTCAGAAGCTTCAACTGTTGTTGAATGCAGCAGCCTGTTTGCTTGTGAGTTCAGCAGTGTTACACCTTTATTGCACTGCTGATTGGCTATGCATATATTGGTTATGCAAGTTTAATTTAAAATGGTGTTTTGATCTTCAAAGCATTACAAGGCTTGGGTCCAGGACATTTTCAGAACTGTCTTTTCTGAGTAGATTTAGAGTCCCAGTGGCAGGAACCAGGAAGTAGCCATGCTCTGTGGCTGCCCTGGCTGTTTAGAAAAGCTTTTCTTCTCCAACTACAGATGGTCCCTTCACTTCAGGAAAATGGTAAAAACTGCTCTTTGGCTACATATTTGGAGCCTAGTGTCCTTTTTTTTTTTTTTTTTTGCTCAATCTTACCTGCTTTTATTACTGATGTTAGTTAAATTTTAATATGTTTAGTATGTTGAATTTATGCACATTGCCCAAAACCGACCAAATGGAATAGTATACAAATTTTTGCAGTGTATACATAAATGCACATTTAATTTCATTATTATTGTAAAATTCCTTTTAACAACATTACCTTGTATTAGGTTTCAGGTTTTCCACTGTAGAATGGGTTTGATTTGTAGTTGTAACGGACTTATCTTTTCCAGCTGGGCCTCCATTTTCTGTTGAGACAACTTTATATTCTGAAATTAAGAAGATCATGTTGAATCATTACTTAGATTATTTTAGTTTTGTAAAATCTGTTTATCAGGTGTCTGTTTTGCTCCTTCATGTTCCTACTGTAAACAAGTTACAATATAGTTCAAAGTGTGTTTCTTTTAAAAATTAGAAAATTTTACTACTGTATTGAATAAACAAATTTCCCTTTAGTTGCATACTTAATGTAGCTTAATTCTGGAATAATATATCAAAACCCTATTTGCCAGAAACCATATTTAATGTCTCATATTTTTTTAAAAACTGCTGAGGTAGAAATCAATGTTGAAATAAGCAGACTGTCCCAACTTTATTTACTTAGCCTAAGACACTGGTTTAATTATAATAAAAATGGTTATAATTGATAATATTTTCAATCAGGGTTTAAAGGGGAGGAATGGCAGACTGAAGACTTTGCCATGAAAATGGAGTTGACGACTGCAGCGAAGAATGAAGAGCCGGTGAGTAGACTGGCTCTTTGGAACCTCTTGGGACAAGGAGAGGATAGGAAATCACCTACATATGCTCCAGAAGGCTACTTCTCATGAAGACACTGCAGGACAGTGGTCTCCTGTGGGTTTGAGTGCTGGAAGACAATGGGAATAGCCATCTTGCTCGCAACCACAGTCAGTACCTTTTAAAGGACACTAAGTTCGCTAACTGGACTTTCTAATCACTTTCAGAAATTGCTTATTAACTACTTCTAAGCTATTAGAGACTTTCAGAATGACAAGTTTGAAAAGGCTGGGTGAGTTTGCCTTCAATCCTGAATGAAAGAGAATTTTAATCATAAGCTTAAGAATTTAAAGAATCTGAAATAAACAGCAAAAGCTAAATAGGATTTTGATCTTAGACAGTTAAAAACAGACTAAGAGTCCAGTTAAATTTGGAATATTGAAACTTTTACAATAAGATTTTGGAATTAATCATAAAGTACAAACAGTTTCTTGTGGGAAATAGATCCTCTCTTGGTTTTTGCAAGACATAACATAGATAAGCAATTTCATGATTTTAAAAACTGGACACTAGAGGGGACTAAATATTTTAGGTAGAGGAAAGATATATAGGCCTGTAAGATGATGCAAAATGTTATGACAATAAACATTTTGAAGGAGACTTTTGAAGAATGGAATCATAAAAAGTAGCCATGATATCAACAATGTCAGTAATCATGCCTGCTTCTATGGATAGACTATGTCCAAAAGCTGTTATGAAGAAATGACAGATGTAGAACAAATTTTATCTGACAAGGTAGAGTTGGTATTGAAAGTGGATTTATAACTGACAGGCCAAGAGAAAGACTTAGAAAAGGATGTTACACTGGATCTACAAAAGAAACTGGCTGAGGTTTTAAAATTTAAAAGGGAAATACAAATGGCAAACAAAGAGAGTGACCTGGATAATTTTTTACTATTTTTTATAATTTTTTACTATTATTTATAGTGATTTACAAAAGAGGCTTGTTAAACTTTGAAGAACTCTGTGTGATGAGACAAAGAAGAAATGAAGAGAAATAAAATCCTATGACAATATTTGAATGAACTAAAGATTAAGACTGTTAGAAGTAAAAGGAAGGAATATAAAGTTGGTTTATTTGCTCAAGGCTAAAACAAGGTATTTTATTATATTATTATATTATTATATTATTATA